AGGTGCTCCCCGGCGCCCTCTGCTGGCTGCTGCGGGGCAGACATGCTGAGGGAGGCCGCTGTTTATCTGAAGCCGGTGGAAGGTTCCATGCCCGCGGAGTGCGCCCACGGGCTCCGCCTGAGCCCTCCACACAGAGGACCCCGTCCCCCGTCATTGCAACAATGACCCTGGAGGACAAGGGCACAGACCTGGGGCGATCCCACTAGGGCGCCCAGCCCAGCTCTGCCACCTGGGCTCAAGTGACCTCCCCTGAGCCTCGTGGGCTGGGGGGGACTGTCCCCCCAGACACCCGCGGGGAGTCGCTAGGCAGGGGCGGCTGTGCCAGCAGCCGCGTCTGAGGGACCCTTGTTTGCCCAGGAGCTGCATCGGCAGCCAGGACCCCTACTGCGGCTGGGCCCCCGACGGCTCCTGCGTCTTCCTCAGCCCGGGCACCAGGTGAGGGGGCGGGGCGAAGGGGGCAGGGGCGGGGGGCGGCCTGGGGGGCTCTGTGACCCTGCCCCTTCTCTCCCTGCCGCCGGTAGAGCCACCTTTGAGCAGGACGTGTCCGGGGCCAGCACCTCAGGCTTAGGGGACTGCACAGGTGAGCGGGGCAAGGGGAGGTGGCCTGCGACCCCAATCCCGGCCCTGGAGGCTTCTCCTGTCCCTTAGGCCACCTGGCCGGGGGTGGGGCGGCTGGGCTCCGTGGGGGCTTTGGGCGGGCGGAGGCCGGGAACACCAGGGAAGCCGTGAGGTGGACAGACAGGCTTTGAGGGGACAAGGAGCTGTCACGCGACAGACACGCCGGGGAGGCGGGAGGAGCCAGGGCCGCGGGCCGCGCCCTCTCACGCGCGCTCCCGGCCAGGGCTCCTGCGGGCCAGCCTGTCGGAGGACCGCGCCGGGCTGGTGTCCGTGAACCTGCTGGTGACGTCGTCAGTGGCGGCCTTCGTGGTGGGCGCCGTGGTGTCCGGCTTCAGCGTGGGCTGGTTCGTGGGCCTCCGGGAGCGGCGCGAGCTGGCCCGCCGCAAGGACAAGGAGGCCATCCTGGCGCACGGCGGCGGCGAGGCCGTGCTGAGCGTGAGCCGCCTGGGCGAGCGCAGGGGCGCCGGCCCCGGGGGCCGGGGCGGCGGGGCCGTCGGGACCGGGGGTCCCCCCGAGGCGCTGCTGGCGCCCCTCATGCAGAACGGCTGGGCCAAGGCCACGCTGCTGCAGGGCGGCCCCCACGACCTGGACTCGGGGCTGCTGCCCACGCCCGAGCAGACGCCGCTGCCGCAGAAGCGCCTGCCCACCCCGCACCCGCACCCGCACGCCCTGGGCCCCCGCGGCTGGGACCACGGCCACGCCCTGCTCTCCGCCTCCGCCTCGTCCTCCCTCCTGCTGCTGGCGCCCGCCCGGGCCCCCGAGCAGCCCCCCGCGCCGGGCGACCCGGGCCCCGACGCCCGCCTCTACGGGGCCCGGCCCGGCCGCGCCTCCCACGGCGACTTCCCGCTCACCCCCCACGCCAGCCCGGACCGCCGGCGGGTGGTGTCAGCGCCCACGGGCGCCTTGGACCCAGCCTCAGCCGCCGACAGCCTGCCCCGGCCCTGGAGCCCACCCCCGACGGGCAGCCTCCGGAGGCCGGGCCCCCACGCGCCCCCCGCCGCCGCCCTGCGCCGCACGCACACGTTCAACAGCGGCGAGGGCAGGCCCGGCGACCGCCACCGCGGCTGCCACGCCCGGCCCGGCACGGACTTGGCCCACCTCCTCCCCTATGGGGGGGCGGACAGGACTGCGCCCCCGGTGCCCTAGGCGCCCGGCGCCTCGGCAGCGCCAGCCGCGGAGCCAGGAGCGAGAGAGGCCGAGGACGCCAGGCCCGGCCAGCTCCGAGTGGGTGCTCGAGCCCGCGCCCCCCGCGGGGCCCTCCGCCACACGGAAGCACAAGGAGCCCGCCCGCGCCGCCGGGCGCAGGACACGGACGGCTTGGGGGGCGGGCGGGGAGAATTCGCTCTGGATCTGAGGTTGACCTTGCGCGTAGATTTTGGTTTCTTTGGCAATTTTTGGTTTCTTTTGCAGTTTTCTAACCAATTGCACAACTCCGTTCTCGGGGTGGCTGCCGGGGGCTTGGAGGTGGGGTGGGGATGGGGGGGCCACTGCTGCAGACCCAAGTCCCCCCACCCCAGGAAAAGGTCCCTCCCGGACGCAGGCCCCTGGCGTGTGTGGGTGTGTGTGCGTGTGCATGCCGTGTTCGTGCGTGCGAGGGCGGGGGGCGTGCGTGTGCGTGCCTGCAGGGCTGCTGTGGGCGTGTGCGTCGCGTGGGCCACGTGTGGTGTGTGTGTGTCGCAGTGCGAGCGTGGCGGCGGTCCCAGCGGCCTGGGCATTGGCTGAGCCGACACTGGGGCTTCCACAAGGCCGAGGGCCTCCGGGTGCCGGGTGGGAGTCTGAACCCCCGCCCCGCAGAGGGAGGGGGCCATGCCGGGGTTCCAGGCAGGGAGTGGGGAGAGCCTGCCCACAAGTCACAGCGGCGAAGGCTGTCTAAAGGGCTCAGGGAGGCCTGGGGGGAGGTGGAGGCGGGCAGGCCCCCCGTGTAAATAAGGCCCGGGGTGGTCAGAGAGTCCCATATCACGTGTCCTCTTGTGACCTCCCCCCTTTGACCTCCGGGTGACCATGCATGCCACGTGGCCAGCCAAGTCCTGGACCCTGCTGGAGCTTGCCTCCCAGCCCCTCCCCGTCAATAAACTCTGTTTACAACCACCGGCCCCCATGGCTCCGGCTCGCTCTGTCTCCTGGGTGGGGGCGGGGCAGTTGGCAGGGCAAGACAGAAACCTGGGGCCCCTCATCTGGATGGAGGACAGTCTGTTTCTGCAGCAAATACTTAATGTGTACCTGCCATGCGGCCGGCACTGTGTGGGGACAGAGACGCCCGCTCTTGTGGAAGTTCAGAGCCTGGGGCGTGGGGGCAGGGACCAACAACATGCAAGCAAAGCGAGACCTTGATTTGAGCTAGTTGCACAAGAAAAAGCAAGATCGCAGAGGCTCAGGCTTGTAATCCCCGCACTTTGGGAGACCAAGGCAGGAGGATCGCTTGAGGCCTGAAATTCCAGACCAGCCGGGGCAACACAGCAAGACCCCATCTCTATGAAAAAATTTTAAAGTAGCTGGGGCAAGTGATGCATGCTTGTAGTCCCAGCTACAGGGAGGCTGAGGCAAGAGGACTGCTTGAACCCAGGAGTTGGAGGCTACAGTGAGCTATGATGACACCACTGCACTGTAGCAAGAGTCTATCTCAAAAAAACAAAACAAAACAAAAAAGCAATAACAACATGCCATGAATTGAATACAAGAGCCTTTTGTTCTTTTCAATGAGTTTCCTGGTTGTTCTAGTTGTTCTAGTTTATGGTAAGCAGTGCCTCTTACTCAAAGTGCTATCCACCCCCCAGGATTGGTGCCTTGGCCCTTCGCACGCACGAACAGGCATGCACAGCACACACACCACACACGCCAGGGGCCTGCGTCCGGGAGGGACCTTTGCCTGGGTGGGGGGAACTTGGGTCTTGCAGCAGTGCCCCATCCCCACG